CTACAATGAAACCTCCTAGAAATTCCCACACAATTTCTCAAAAGAATAAATTTCACATAGAGAAATATTTCTGAAAGGGTACAAGAGGGATTTCCCCCCCTCTCTGCTTCTCTCAAAGAGTGAGACGCAACAACCTTCACATCCTTAGTAAACACACCAAGCTGATCAAAAACTGCTGCGGATTTGGTGACTGTCACATATGCATCTGTCACATCCAAATTAAACTATTGCCACTTGCTGCCCGTTTGCCTTTGCAAACGTTTGTGGAAATAGCATCTGGCATAGCATGCTGGCAGGAGGCTACTTTCTCTCTAGAGTGCCTCACCCTTGACATTTGATCCTTATTAGTGCCCACTTTCTTTCCAAATCTAGTTTGAAGTGGAGGCAACCACCTTTAAAGGCCTAAATGCCTGGAGATTGTATTAACAAAAGATATATGGCTCTTACATTCTCCTCCCTGTATCCTACAATGTTTCAACGTCATCCCATCATATATAGCTCATGGGAATACCCATATACTACTTGGCTATAGCACCCAGGCAGCAGAGTTATCCTTCCTGCCTAATCTTTCAATACCTGAAGCCTGCCTTTTAAATAATTCATTCAAGGTCAGTTAAATTGTTTCCATCCTGAAAGGGTGTGGTGCTGGAATAGTATTGCTGCCAATTTACCCTGAGTTTTGTGTTCAGATCTTTGTTATCCAATGCCTCCTTGTAAATTAGACCGGGTTTTAGGGTACTGACAGTCTTTAGGTGTTTGGGATTTGTTTGTTTGTTTTTTTGGCTGCTTAAGCCAAATAGTTATAAATGTTTAATGCAAAACAGTATAAAGCCATTGGGTTGCACTCTAAACTACTGGAGTGAATAATGGATTTATTCTACAACAAAGCAACATCAGATCAAAACAGATTTAGCCCGCACTGAAACCAAAAATAAAAATATGGTACTTTAATTTATAAAAGCACTAAATGCATTTTTAAGATTTAAGCAAGCCACATTTCACAAGTTAACAGATCTAGTTGCTTTTCTTTATCCCAGCCAGGTTTGCACAGAGCAAAATAACCCCAAGTACCAATTTCAACATTCAGATAAAGTTTATATCAAGAGGTTTTAACTTCTTTCTAACTTATAAACATTATCTGCATCCAGTTGTTCAAATTATTTTATATTAGCATCATACAAAAATAGTATTGCCAAATAAAATGAAATGAAATGCACATGTTCATAGGCCAAAGGTCTAGAGAGGCTGCAGGCTAAGACTGTCGTCAAATTCTCAAGTATATGAGAAAATGTCTCACTAAAGTCACTGGACATACTTTTCAGTACAGCATGTGATAAACAGTAATCTCTGGAAAATAATGGGAGTGGGGAACAATCCCAGCAATTATTCTGATGTTCGTTTTTGCATCCTATGCTAGATGTCACCTCCAAGGAAAATGTGGAAAGGGGGAAAAAACTCAACAACCCTAGCTCAGCGCTGATTACAGGAATGTTACTAAGCTCAGAACTCACCTGCTGTGCTCCACAGAGTTCTGTTTCAGGAGAGGAGACCTGGCGCTCTGGGATCTCCCCTCTTGGAAAGTAATCCTCTTCTTTGAGCTGGAAGGTGGATGGCTAAATGTGTGTGCTCGCCTTCTGAACTGGGGAGAATCGGAATCCTCTTCAGGGAATGGCTGCCAGACGGAGGAGACAGGAGACGCAGGAGGGGTCGGAGGAGGAGACTCCCCAGAGGAGCAGTCCTAAAAGCAGTCAGTCACAGACAGGAATGAGGTGCACCCTCTGTGTGTGTGTGTGCCCCCACAAACTTCTAATCTGAGTGACCCCAATGTTTAGGGAATAAAGAGCTGAAGCTGGTCTTCCTTCACAAAAGAGAAACCACCCTATTGTATGCTAATGAACTATGAACTATGCCAAACATCCTTTGCCCTGAAGCGCCATGCCGTGTCATGGACAACGCTGCAACAAAACTGAACGGTGCTTAAAATGATCTGCTTGCCATTAGACTGAACTTTTTATGTGGCTGGAAGTGGGGCGGGGGGGAGGCCTAGGTTCCAATCAAATTTGGCTTCTTCACTCATTTCCTTGCCATATCATGTTTAGGGTTTCCTGTTCTGTCAAGGCAGTATCCTTGAAAACGGCACTATTAATAAACAGCTACATTAAGAACAATGGCAACAGGAAAATTAAAAGTCACAAGCACAGCTCCACGTCCACATCCCTTGGGAGGGGCAAAATAGTTCTGAGTGTAAATGTAGCTGAGAAGCCATTTAAAACAGGAAATCAATGGGAAGTGTACAGCAAAAACTGTTTTCACATGAGCAAACTGACAGCAAAGCATGATGGAGTGGAAATGTGACTGCTTTTAGAGACAACACGTGAATCTGAATAAATAAAAACTTTTTTCCCCCTTGTATCTTCATTTTCTCCTAACTGCTTTTCATTCTAACTGGCAAAAAGCTCCTCCACCTGTACTTTTTAAAAAGTTTTTCTAAGCTATTTTCCTGTAAGATGTTCCCTATAAAATTCTGAGTAAAAAAGAACAGGCAAAATCAGCCTGCTCTCTCCTCTAATTTTTATTTTAAAGCAGCCTTGCAAATACGGTTGCACATTACCAGTCCACGTGCAGCTCCCAAATTACTAATCCAACTGTCTATGAATACTTGGGCTAGTCTTCGTTTCGTTTTAAGAGAGTAGGTTGACACAAACTCTTAAAATGTACATAGACTTTATTTCCCAGGTTGCCTGGAAATGATATTTACAGCTTGTCATCAGCCAAAGGTGAAATACAGTATGTTTATATGTTCTGCATGTAAATATATAAAAGTAAATTGTAGACATATATTTTGCAAATCTGATACATATTCTTATACTGTCCCACGACCTACCCTGTCAGAAGTGAAGTTGTTGCATTTTTCGAAACTATCCATGCTTCCCAGACGGCCACGCATCCTGTTAGCACCCTAGAGGACATTAAATAAAAAGTCAAAACAAAAAATAAAGACATACACAATGTATTAATACAACTTTTCCCATTCCCTATACTTCAAGTTCAGAAGCAAAAACAGACCACAATCTCTGGTGCATTCTGAACAGTTTTCTGCCCATGTAAAGTCTACATACAACCTTGAAATACAACATACAGCAGCTGAGTGCAAAAAAGATATGTCTATTTCCCCCAGAATAGGGAAATTGGCCATCAAAGATATAAAGATATCCAACTTGAAACTTTTACCGTATCAGTCTTAAACTGGCCCAGCCTGAAAACTGCAATCTTGTGCAATTTGCATTCCTTCTCTTTTCTAGGTCCTACTGCATCCACGACCCACTAAGAACAATAAAGGCTTAGATCCTGAGAGTGCTACTCTGCTTACTGGAAAAAGGAGGTGAGGGAAGGAGCAGTCTTTCCCCTACAGTTGCTGAGAACTTTGTGTCACAGATACACACAGCAGAAAGAGGGACTTATAAAAATTGCCTTCCTTTTATCATTAGGAGCCTCTATTGGATCAAAAGGCCTAAGTGTTTGCAGAAGACACAATAGGATGTGAACCACAGTTTACTACAAATATTTGTGTGCACTCCATTTTGCACACAATGCTAGATCTGAGCCAAATGTACTCCTTCTCCTTCTCTGTACTTGAATATGGTCTTAAAATACACACTTTATTAAGAATGTTTTTCTTTACAGAAATGAGTTTCATTACACAAATAAGATGCAGTAACCCCCTGAAAACCACAATAGCAGTATTTGTTTTCAGACTGAAATGTCAGTACCTTGGAAGATGACTAGGCATTTCTATTCTATTTTCCAAGGAACAGGGAACAGAACTTCTGAAAGTGGAATGAGTATTTACTGGCTCACAAAAAACGAGAGAAAGAAAGTAATGTCTTTCAAGAAGCTCAAGGTTTTGCTTCAAGGGACTATCAAGGTTTCCCTTAAAAAATGTGCTCACAGTTCACACTATGTTAGAACACTAGAACCTGTATCTTCTCTTCTAAGTTCCCCCATTCTTGTCAGCTTGTAGCCCCTCATCCCACGCCAATGTCAGCAGTCAAGATGGTCAGTCAAGATGATACCCTCTTCTGCTCACTGTCTTTCACAAAGTGAAATCAAGCAAGGGAAAATCCCAGAAGCTGACTCCTTTCATCAGTTAACCACTTCTCACCCACATATAAGCAACTGTCAGGCCTGTTTTTCAACAACTCTTCAAAGGAATATCTCCCCTTTCCTGCCCATGAAGCTACAACAGTGTATCTACTTTGCAAAAGGTCTTGCTGGTGAGCCTGTTCCACACATATTCAGTGTGATAACTAAGAAACCACTGTTTCTCCCTTTTGAAAGGCCTTTTTTGAGGATCATGATTTCAGCTCCTATAGCTGAGCTTCTTTCCAAAATTTAAAAAGTGAGTAGGCCAATCATTCTCTTTCAAGATAAACATGATTGGCCCTTTCAATGTATATGAGCTATTTTAAATTTGAGGACATTTAGGGTTGCCTATTCCTGAAAGGGTGGAACAGTTTTACTTTTAAAAAATCATAATTCAAAACCCCCTCGCCCATTCCCCCCCCCACTCCCCAACATTTGGCACAGATGAAGAGAAGACCATCTGCTGCAATCTGTACCAGTTTTGGTACTGGTCTGAAGCCCTGTGTAAAAGTTACATTTTTTCCTTCGGGCTGTCCTTGTTTTTAGAACTGCTGTACTGTATAGAATGAAAGCCACATTCTTCCCAGTTGAGCTAGGTAAGAAAGCTATGGCTATGAAGGAATGGGGTATGGAGTGATCTGTGAGGAATGAGAGAAAAAAGAATCTTCTGGTGAAGTAAGAGCATCACCTGAATGGTGTTTGTGCCATTTGAAGGATAGGTGTGACTTCTGACAAGAAAGTGGAGGTGCTTAACGTAGGTATGAACCCGAGGAGGACAAGTGACACATGGAGCTGCAGGCCTGTGTGAAAAGGTCCGGGAGTTGAGCAAAGTTATTACAGTGGAGGTGGAAAAGACAGAGAATATGGGGAAACCAAGGTTGATTCAGTTACTCTGGGGTCACTAGGATGCAGTTCATCTGTCATCTTGGCTATTCATCTGGTGAGGAGAGGGAAGGAGGAAATGCACAAAGGAATAGTCCTCACCAGGTATACAAGAAAACGTTCCCCAAAGTGACCTTCTCATTTGCAGAACTTGGGGCACTAGGCATTTTTTAGACAAGTGAGCAAGTCTATGAAGGGATTATCCCATTGTTGGAAGAATTGGCAGATTACCTGAGGGCTAAGCAGTTACCTGTGAGATGAGGCCTCCCCATGGTTCAGTCTGTCTACCATCTCATTGCTCCACAGTCAGCTACATGTCAAACTGTAAAGATCTGCTATGCACCTATGTGGTGTGCTTTGGTGTAAAAAACAGAGGCTGTAAACTGGTAGTTTGTCAAGAATGGGTGCAACACATTATTTCTCTATAGAAACTGCTGATAAGCTCCCATACATGCCTGGTAGTTAGCACTCATCCAGAAGAGGGCTGTAGTGGCATAGATCTTCCTGCCAACTGTGTGTTTTGGCCTCAACAGATGAGTCCTTCAGCAAGGGAGACGTTGAAACGCTCCAAAGCCTGATGGAGTGGAGGACTTGCTTGACCCTGGAGATCCTGGATCCTCAGGGAACAAGGAGCCTAAGCTCACAGATCTTGGATACTGATAGATGCAGGAGTCTAAGTCTAGGAGTGACTGGGGATTCAGAAGCTAAGTCTGAGGAGGAGGTTGGATGATCCTCCAGTCCTCAGGAGTAAAGGAATAAAGACTGGGATAGTAACTGGAGGTTGAGCCTTAGCTTGGATCCTGTGGAAGATGGATAACCAATGGTCTCTGTTGGTGTTTGACGAATGATAGAGTTCAGCATGGAGAGGAAGAGCAACACTGAGGGAAGGAGCCAGAGACAGAGAGTGGATGAAAAACAAGCCTGAGAATGAAGAAGAGTATACAAACTTGACACATGATAAGAAGTTACAGAGAGACAATAGTTGTCTATCCCCCTACTTAGCCAGAGATTGAGGGGGGTTGGAAAGATGGTAGATGCAACTCATGACTAAAGAAATGGAGTCAAATGCTGGGGTTGGAGTGATGACCTAAGACCAACTTTGTGGAGGATAGGATTGAGATTGAGAAGGTACAGGGCTGTCAAGAAGTTTGCCATCAGAATAGACATTGGCTGAAGAGGAGATTAACAGTGCAAGAAGCTAGGAGAACCAATCAAAGACTGCTGACAATGGAGTGGATATGATAGATACGAAGGAACTGACAGCAAGGCCAGAATCCTGGATATTTATGCTATCCAGCTGGGTGGGCAGGGTTCCCATCACAGCACTTTAGCTTTCGATAGAGAATACCACAAGCTGTCTGTGCAAGTGTAGGACTAGACCCATCTATGTGATGCACAAAGACCCAAAGAAGAAAATATTGATCTTGTGAGACAGACACAAAAAAGTAATGACCAAAATAGACACAGATTCCTAAGGAAGCAGCTATTGAGTTATCACAACGTTATTCACAATTATATCCCAATGAAATCTTGATACTAAACTATTATTCTTACCCTTGAGAAGATGTTTTCTAGAGAACTGGTCAAGGATTTCTTTGCTTTGTTTTTCAAAATATCAAGCTTGAACCTGCCACCACTGGCTGCATTTTCTGGAATTGTGTTGTTGGAGGCATTCTGCTAAATGAAATCAAGATTTAGAATTATAATAAACAGCTGACTAGATATCAAAAATATACTATTGCCAATATAACCTATGCCCACATAAAGAGCATCCTAAGAACAAACAGAGAGAGAATTATACTCCCCTCTTTTTAAACACATAATTGTTTTGTTTTGTATGAAATAAAGAAAAGAATGGTTCCAAGTTATTTTGCTAGCTTTCCTGCACTAAAAATGTTTAGTGAAATATAGCTCTTCATTATGGTACAGTTTAGCGGCCAAGGTCAAATCCAGTGCATCATCCTTGATGGAGGGAATGTTAGAAACACAGAGAACAAGTAAAATCTTGCAAAAAATTTTTTTTCTTACACTGTAAGCAACTTGTACTGGGGAGAAAGCACAAAAGGTTTTACACTTAGGGGCCTCTTTTGCAGTTCTGATACAGACTAGAAGTACAGTGGTGCCCCACATGACGATGATAATCTGTTCCACAGAAATTGCTGTTTAGTGAAAACATCATCTTGCAAAAACCGTTTCCCCATTAGAATGCATTGAAACCCATTTAATGTGTTCCAATGGGCAAAAATCGTCATCGTTTTGCGAAGATTGCCCATAGGGAAGCCATTTTGCAAAGCGCCAATCAGCTGTTAAAGTGGCTGCCCTGCGAAGTATCAGTCCCGAAAACACCCGTTTTGCGAAGCGCCGATCAGTGTTAAAATCGTTATCTTGTGAGAAACGGTTTGCGAAGCAGGGACCCAAACATCGTCCAGCGAAAATCACCCATTGGAATCACTGTTTTGTGAATCGCTACAGCGATCGCAAAACCTCATCGTCATGTGGATTTGTCATTTTGCGAGGGTGTCATCTACCAAGGTACCACTGTACCTATAGCTACTTTTAGCAAACAAGCAAATGACAGACATGTCAGAAACACATTCATTCATGTACCAGTGTATATCCAATTGGGACTTATGAGACCGAGCTGACGTAAGTAGTATCTAAGTGTGTGATTAGATAGGCATTTAATTCCTGTTTAGTCCACTGCAGGGGTGGTTCACTCCTTTTCTCAGCAACCACAAGATGTAATTGCTGGAGCAAACCAGAATGCTCTCAGAGTGTTCCTACCCACAATTTTCTGAGTCCCTGTCAAGGGCTTCTACTTTTTTTGGTGTGAATAGGATCACTCTGTTTTGGTTCATTTCCAGTGCATGTGGTTTCTGGAAACAAACCAAAGCAGCTGTTAAGACTCCTTCCACAGTCTATTTCCCAGATCATAAAGTGGCTTAAGAAGACAGACACTTCAGAATATTTGTAGATTTAAAACTTCCTCTGCTCTGTGGAAGGACAGAGGAAGTTAAATTTTCTTTAAACTGTATTAGGGCAGATTTAAAATTTTGAAAATGTCCTCTCAGAAGTGGGAGGAGACAGAAAGGAGCAACAAAGGATTTTTTTTCTTTTATTTGTGACTTGTCAAGAACTTGCCCATAGCTGAAATACTGCCTACTTTATGTAATCACAATTAATACATTTCAAGAAAGTGAAATGAATTCAGTAACTAAATAAATATATCAAAAATAAAGCAAACCCAAAAGCTTATGATCTCAAATAACTTTTGGCTTCTATAAATCCAAATTTTAGACCCACAAGACTACTGTGATTAACTGATTTAAAACTAATAGCATTCCCTGAATTTTATCCACTTCTCTCAGTTCTGCTGTTGTGAAAATTGTACATACTGGTGCCAAATCTGCATTACAAACCAATTAACAGCAGCATCATGTTTCTATTGCAGTAACATCAGTAAAATATTCAGTGTACGGCCCAAGAGCTATTATCAAACAAGAGTGTTTCAGAGGATGGAGCATATAATATTGTCAGTGGTAATTCCACCATTGTGGAATATAAAAAAGGGGGGTATGGGTGTGTCCAATTTGTATCTTTATCATATATTCTAAGAAAATGTACCAATTTTAGTTTGGTGCTGGAAAATGCCTTAATATCTGCTAAAGTTTGGCTTCCATGCTTTGATACTGTTAACTTTAAGTAGGATTCTTATATTGCCTGTGTTTTTACCAATTGCTTTCAGCTTCTGAATCCAAAGGTTTACAAGACAGTAAAAAATGAGAAGCCAGTCACATTTATTTCAGTGGGATTTATATCCAGCTAAGTATGCTAAAACTGTTATACTAAGATATAAACATGTGGAAGTTTTATGAGTATAAAGTTTTTAGTGCCAATTGCTGTCTTCCAGTGTAACTAAACAACTCCACAGAACAAAGATGTTACCATTGGTGCCTCTCCAATATGAACATGTGTCTTCTGTTTAGCTTCACACAGCTGTCGGAGATGTAAGATTACAAGCTCATTTTCTTCCTGGTCGCTAATAGGCTTCATTTTCTGTGAAGTGAGAAATAAGCAAGATAAATTTTTAAAAGAAATGCAACACCTGTGATTCTGCCCAAGTTGGATTTTTTATGACAACAGCTTTTATTTCAATTATTACTAAAAAAGGCATCAAAATTAATTCATTTCATCTGAGTTTAACGATAGTTACAGGAGTATACATTTGTGAATGGTTGCATAGCAAAGTAATTTAGAATGGAGAGTGGTGTTGTGGAGGAAAGAAAGAGAAGTTACAGATACGATGCATTTGATTCTTGGCAGTTTAATCTTGCAAAATTATTTTAGAGAATGAACAGTAACAGGTTCAGTTTATTACCTGAACACGCTCAAAGATGTCAGCTTGTTCATTGTCACTGAGAGATGACAGATGTCTCTGAATCACAAGTTTAGCTCTTGGTGGATAAAGACCTTAAAAAGGAAAGGCAGGCATTGACCAGACAAGTTACACTCATTTGACAAACTCTCTCTTCTTTATCTTTCCACAGAGTTGTGGAACATCACATATAAAACTTGAGAACAGGTAGCTTATAGCACATTAGATTGTGACAGAGTCTCAAGCAGCCCACATTTCACATTTTTCAAAAAGCCAAGCAACATAGATTGTTTTCTAATCCACATTTTTCACATAATTGTTGCTACTTATATTAAAAATTAAATAAAATCCAATTAGGTCTCAAATAAGCAAGCAAGCAAAATCCTCATATATAATTCAACCCTATCACTAATGAAAAGCTGATGCTGTAACATGTAAAGTTGTGTCCTTTTCTTTCCAGATGTGTGTCAGTATGTTGTTACCCACAGGTCCGAAACTCGGAAGTGTTCACTCCCTAGGTGCACAACTGAATGTCTGTGTCATACAGTGGTGCCTCGACTTACGAACGTCCCAACTTACAACCATTTCTAGTAACAATCAGCTCCAGCCGCAAAATTTTGCTTCAACTTGTGGTCGGAGCTTCAAGTTATAATTTTAAAAAAGGCAGGGAAAAAAGGAAGTAAATTTAAATTGCTAACCATTGGTAGGCGAAGAGGCTGTTCCCCATTTCTGATGTGTTTTGCATGCTTTGCTTGCTTACTGCTTTGCTTTTCCCCCATTTCATATGTGTCTTGCATGCTTTGCTTGCTTTCTGCTTTGCTTTTTCCCCATTTCTGATGTGTTTTGCATGCTTTGCTTGCTTACTGCTTTGCTTTTCCCCCATTTCATATGTGTCTTGCATGCTTTGCTTGCTTTCTGCTTTGCTTTTTCCCCATTTCTGATGTGTTTTGCATGCTTTGCTTGCTTACTGCTTTGCTTTTCCCCCATTTCATATGTGTCTTGCATGCTTTGCTTGCTTTCTGCTTTGCTTTTTCCCCATTTCTGATGTGTTTTGCATGCTTTGCTTGCTTACTGCTTTGCTTTTCCCCCATTTCATATGTGTCTTGCATGCTTTGCTTGCTTTCTGCTTTGCTTTTTCCCCATTTCCAACGTGTCTCGAAAGCTTGGCTTGCTTTTCTTTCCCTTCCCCTTCAGCCGGAATGGAGTAATCACATTTCCAATCAGTCTTGCAGTGTTTTGTTTTGTGTTTTTTTGGTTATTTTTTCTTCGGCCAGAATGGATTAATGACATTTCAATGCATTTCAATGGGAAATGGTGCTTCGACTTAACAACCATTTTGAGTTATGACCATCTTTCGGAATGGATTAAGTTCGTAAGTAGAGGCACTGCTGTAATTTCCATTTAAAAAGTGAAAATATTCTAGAAGTGTTCTTCTGTATTGGAGACTGAACCCAACTAAGTTGAGAAATGTTGAAACAGAGATTGTCTTACGTTGGGCATATCATGAGAACACAAGATTCTCTGGGAAAGACACTAATGCTGGAAAGCAGCAGGAAAAGAGAAAAACCAAACACAAGATGGATCGCCATAGGCTTGGGTTTACTACAGCTGACCAAGGCTGCTGAGGACAGGACATTTTGGAGAGCAATCATTCATGGGTTTACTAGTCAAGAGTGAATTGATGGCACATAACAAGAAACAGCAGAAACAGCAGCTAACAAATCCTAACATTGAACAGAAATGGGAGAAAAACTGAATTACAGTGGACCCTTGACTTACAGACGGCTTGACTTACAGACTTCTCGAGTTACAGACTTCTCTGGCCGCAAAATTTAGGTTTGACTTGCAGCCTGAGATTTGACTTACAGACCAGAAAAAAACCAAAATGGAACAAAAACGGCCTGTTATGGGATTAATCGGTTTTCAATGCACTGTAGGTCAATGGAGACTTGACTTACAGACTTTTTGACTTGAGAACCACCTTCCAATACGGATTAAGTTCTCAAGTCAAGACCCCACTGTAATACAGAGTGGCTGGGATGAAAGAGGAGCAGCTTAAGGGTCGTAACCTTTCTTAGGCCCCAACCCCCTTTGTTTTATGTAAAATTTTAAAAAGTGGGGACAAGAGCACTGCCTTCCTTTCAAGATCTAACCCTTTTCTAAGATTTCTGTCTGGAGGTGCACAAAACAAGAGATACAAACCAGCTGCTTTGACAGACGTGATTTATTACAGAACAAAGGCCCCCCCCTTATGCTACTTCACATTTGCAAAAAAAGAAAAGAAAGCTATTTGTTCCTCCAAGAGCATTTTAGCACATGGACTATATTTTTGAAGAAGTTTTACATACATTGCTTCTTTGCCCACCAGGAGGAGCTAACAACTAAATATGTGCCATTGTTATAAATATTAATAAATGTATTTTAAAAAGCCAAGCAACCCCACAAACAACTCAGATTGTTTCCTAATTCACAGGTTTCCCAATGTCACTGTTGCTACCTATATAAAAAGTGTAGTAACATCAAATGGAGTCTCAAATAAGCAAGCAAATAAACATAGATACAATCCTCGTATATAACCCAAGCATGGAGAAAGTAAAAGTCAGAGCAGGCCTGGACTGTTCTGAGACTTACAAGGCACCAGCTTTAGACACTTTCAATGGTCTATTGATTCCCCCAGGGTTTTTGTTCAATTTGTGTGGCTGCACTTTGTAAACTTCAACTCAGCTGCTGGTAACTTACAAACTGATTATATGATTTGAATTATTCCAGTCAATTTTTTTTTAATTGATCACAATATTTGATTTTATCAATCAGTGCCAAGGCTTCATCCGCAAGCAAATTTATTAACTGTCCTGGGCAGAGCCACCTGTCATTCCAGCCACAAATGCATAGCCTCAATGGAGGGAACAAAGAATTTCAAGCAAAAGCTAGTGCATTTTCATAAAGCATTTTTGAACTGGAGGCAGGGACCTGCTTCACAGAGATGGACAGATTTGTCATTCTCTCAGCAGAGCCTATTCCTCCCATCAGCCCTCCTCCACTCTGAATAAGCCACTTTCCCCCCCTTAATACATACTGACTGCCTTTCAAGGGAGTTCTTTGTTCAGGTTGACTTGAATACATTGACCAAATGTAATTCAAAGTTACCACCACACAGCAAAACAGAAACAAGAAAGCTAGCCCAGCTCATAGGCCCAAAGGTACTCAAGACAAAATGTTTTCATTGGCCACCCAAAAAGAAACAGCCGGCAACTTACAAAAAGTATGAAGAACACATGCATTCTCTTATGAGCCAGCATTCCTCAATAGCCTCAAGTGGCATGATGAACCACAGTGGATTGTTTGCAGAACCTCCATGTTCACAAGCAGTGTATCTCTGAATATGAGACGCTCAGGAAGAGGGGGAGAGAACAGAAGGGAAAGGGTTGCCAGCTTCCTCCTTTGTGCAAGAGTAGCTGAAAAGACTGCCCGCAGCCAGACTGCTCCAAGTTTTTCTCTCTTTCTCAATATATTGAAACTGGAATAGTGGGACATTCGGGGAGAGAAAATGAACTACCTCTTCCCCCCCAGTTACACTCTGGAATGTGCTACTTTCAAGGGCTCGTGAAGGATGCACCGTTCATAGGTGAAATTCACTATTGAAAGATGTAGTAATGGCTGTCAAAATGTATGGCTTTTAAAAAGGGAACTGATATAATTTAATGGGCCAAGCCCCTTTTGGGGTAAAATGATACATATAATAGGAATCATGCAACAGATTTTCTCTTGTCTCTTGCCATCTGTTAAACAAGTAGATGGGTGACTGATTCCCTGACCCAAGGAAGATAAGGGATTACAACAGCTGGCTAGCAACACAGGAAGGCTTAGACTGTGTGGGACCCAACAGAATTTGGGCCATGGAAATTGGAGCTATTTCTCCTATAGTTATGGGATACACAAAATAATCTTAAATGTTCAATGCCACGCATGACAACGATCATCCGTTCCAGGAAAATGATAATCTTAAATGTTTAACAGATCTTATACAGTGGTGCCACACATGACAACGATCATCCGTTCCAGGAAAATTGCTGTACAGCGAAATCGTCGTCATGCGAAAAACAATTCCCCATTGGAATGCACTGAAACCCATTTAATGTGTTCCAATGGGGAAATTACCTTGTCGGCCAGCAAAGATCGCCCATAGGGGAAGCAATTTTCCGAGCGCCGATCAGCTGTTAAAATGGCTGCCCTGCGAAGCATGGGTCTGGAAAACACAGGGCAGCCATTTTGCAGAGCCGGAAAAATCATCGTATTGCAAACAAACAGTTCGCAAAGCAAGGACCTAATCAACGTCCAATTGAAAAAACCCATAGGAAACATTGTTTTGCGTCAACGTCCAATGAAAAAAAAACCATAGGAAACATCGTTTTGCGATTGCTATAGCGATCACAAAAAAGTCATCGTCATGTGATTTCGTCGCTCTACAGGGTCATTGTCATGCAGGGCACCACTGTATTTAAGTGTCCAAATGATGGCAGCCATAGTTATGTATATGAGGACTGAGAGACTGAACAATACAATACCCCCAACAGGCAGTAAAGATACTGTAGGACTGTAGTATCTGTGGGAAATCAGTTCCAAGACTCCCCCTCCACTGCATAGATGCCAAAAACCACAGATAAACAAACCCTATATAGAGAGCACGTTCTCTGGTTCCCTCTAGTTGCCCCTTCTGTTAATATATCTTGGAAACACACATTTTGGTGGAGGGTATTTTATATTTTCAGGCAACAAGTAACTGAAACCGCATGTATTGATCTTGCGGATACAGTGGTCCTACTCTACTGAGAAGCCATTCCCTGTAGCTCTTTTGCAGCATGAAAAAACACAATGTTTCAGATTACAACCAGACAAGAAAGCAAACAAGAAAAGGCTTAGAGGTACCTTCGATTCTTTCACAGAGTTTATGTAGTGAGTGCATTGGGCAAGCCTCACACAGTTTAATCTGAGTTTTGGCATTCTGTAGGGCTGCAGCAGTGCTGAAAGCTTGCTTCAGAGTGAGCATTATCTCATCCACCTGAGAAAACAAGGGGAAATGAAAAAAGAGGGGAGTGGGGAGGTTTTTTATAACTCAAACTGACAGATGGGTAAGAAAGAGAGGGACACACACATGGAAAGGAGAGGCACAATATATTCAGGGATTTTTCCACAAAATTCACATTGAAATGAATGAGAGATACATAAGAACTGAAGCTGGGCAATACTGTACCTTTATCAGACCACTAAAGACTTATAAGCTAAAGAACTGAAGCTGGGCAATAACTTTATCAGACCACTAAAGACTTATAAGCTAGATAACCTTTCAAGTTCTCCTTTCAACAACTTTTCAGGTTCTTTCTCAGGCAAAGAGCATATAAGGCTCTAAGGCAAATGGCCCCAAAATTAGTCCAGACATGATGCCCACAAAACCGATCACTCCTCTGTCTGCAGAAAAAAGCTTGGCTTAGGCCCCTGTAGATATGTCCGTTGTACATCTTGGATCTTTCCCATTCGCCTCACCTAAGGCAATGGACTGGCCCATAGGGGTCCAACCAGGAAAGAGGGAAGATCGAGAATGGATACATTTAACACCTGTCTCACATGCAGAATCTGCACATTCCATCTGGCCCAATTTTTGGACTATCTGTCTTAATCCCAAATATTATACTTGTTGCCTGAAAAAGAGTTCTGGGGAACTAGTGACCCAGCAATATATTACCTACGCCTACCTCTTCAGTTTCCTTTTGGACAGAAGGTAAGAGCCAAGCTCCTTTTTATTTCAATGGGGCTTCTGCAAAATAATCCTCCATCAGATTGTGGCCTCTGTTTGCTCTTTGCACAACAAAACAGACTGTCCAAAGCAGCCTCTTTGAAAAGCTGTGGCTCTATTTCACAATGCTTACCACAAGTAACATTTGGCTGACTTTGTTTGTAAACTGTTTGAAAAAGGACCAGAGTGAAAGCCTTCTGATAAGTGTAATTAATTTATGACCGGCATTCCTAGATAGCAGAATTCAGAATGCTGTTCCTTTACTTGCTGGATTAAAAGGCACGGAGAACCAGCTACCAGCCTATTAGTAACCAGCTGGAAAGCTCATCAGCTTTTATTGTTTCCAGACACTAGTCCGAGCCTTGTCCCTGACATAATAATGAATAGGGGTATGCAAGATTCCCACACTCTTGGGGGGAGGCAGAGTCTACATTCTGTGGAGGGGGGCAGGGTCAGAGGTTACAAGGCTTCTCCTCATCTGGCATAGAGATTCAAATCTATTTTCATGCCTAACATAAAAGGCTTCTCGGTATCTCTTTTTCCCTTAAAATATTTCTAAATTAAGAGATGGCCCCATTAAACACACACACAAACAACCTGAATCTAGAAAGCACCGGGTAAGATTCACTTTTTACACTAGCTTCCTGTCTACTTTGACTATTTAAAAATATTTAAACACACTACTACAGTGTTTGTCTGAAGAATGTTTACAAGAAATAGAGTGAAAAAATGAGATCATGTTTGAACTGATTCTTTGTCATATATTCAGAAGCTACAACCATGATTTACATCCTCATACACGATAAATGTGAAGGTGCGGTATTCTATCGCATGAGGTCTCTGTGAAATGCTTATGGCTATTAATGACATCATTAAAGGCCAAATTCAATGTCAGTCCTACCTAAAATAGCTGTGAAAAGCAAGTTGCATTCACATCAATGGTTTGCTCCAGCTAGGGTTAACACTAAGCTTAGCCCTACATGTTTTCTTTTTCTTTGACTGCTTCAACACTGAAACGGAAGTTTAACTTTCCACTTCCAGATATGGAGGCCATCGCAAATGTAAGAGCTCAGAGATAATCTGGGGCTCCTAGATGCCATGGCAGATATTCAGAGTGGTGCAAGAGAAAGAGTAATAGACTTAGGACTCAGGAGATCTGAGTTTGATTCTCCAGCTCTGCCATGGAAAGTCACTGGGGGAGTGGAACTGGTAAAATCACTCTTTCAATACTTCACTTACCTTGAAAAGCCTATTAGGGTTGTTATAAGTCAGTTCTAACTTGATGGCACATAACAACAGATGCCATGGTAGAGGATGTACATTAGCCTTAGTTCATGTAACTCTGTAATAGGTTAGAACTCAAATGATACCTGAGTTAAAATCAGGCACCCTTGAGTCCAAATTATAAGTAGACCTGCTTCATCGTTCTTACACTTAAACATAAATGTGTATGAATTTTATCAATCAGATGCCATAATACATAGGCATCTGCCTTGCAACTTGTAGAGAGCAATCCTGTTAAAATAGTTAAAATAGTGGATGAAGAGTTCCCAAATTTGGATCATCAGATGTCCCATAACTCCCACGTCCTAGTCAACATGACCAATAATCGGGACTTCTGGGAGCTGCAGTCCAACATCTGACAACTGAAGTTTGAGATTTCTAGAGAGTCATTACTTTGAGACACATCTAGACTTTCTGTCAGTGTTAAGCTTTTTGGATTTTCCCACATTCTTTAATTTTAAAACAGGTAGATCATGCAACCTTAAACATGCCCTAACTCTCTTCCTCGTGGTGATGTCACTGCCATATATTGTTAGAGAGGGAAAGTAGGTCAATGTTGCAGACAGGACAGAAGTGCAACAACAGGTACTAAATGTACTAGGAATCAATGCAGGAAAATCTAGGAAGAGAACACAGACTTGGCAGTTAGGTCATGTAAAAAAAAAAAGGATTGGGAAACTATGGTTGATCATAAGCTAAATGCAAGTCAGTAATGTGATGTGGCTGTAAAAAAAAAGCTTATGTAATTTAGTCAGACTCATACTTTCAAAGTACAACAAATAGTAGCTCCCCTTTCTTCCATACTAGTCAGATCTCATCTGGAACGCTACTCTGTGTTTCTATGACTGGTGGTTTCCAGTGCTTCTTTTTCTGCTACTCCATATTGTACGAAGCAGTCCACAGCAGTGTGAATAATCAGAAGGAGATCACTATAGGGCATGGAGTAGATAGCCTACAAGACCCCTTGCCCCCCCCCATCTTGTAGGCTACGCACATCTACATTTCTATGGCTGAGATTCATTTGGCACAATTATGTAGGAATAGGTGATGACATAATCAGCCATCAAAGTTACTCTTTGACTTACACTGAAATCTTCCTACCCCATCCTCTTCAGGTTCCACAGCTCCCTAGGGATCTCTTTTGACCTGGGGGGAACCTATGGGAACCGTGGGGGAGGCGAGAGGGCTTTATGTGCATAAAATTGCCATCAGAGGTCCCAATTCTGGTAACAGTGATTTAATATTAAAGGTTCCTCTCCCCCCACCCCAATCCTAAGGCTCCCAAAGGCTTCCACAGGTCAAAAGAGATCCCTAGGGAGTGCCAGAACTTGAGATGGTATGGATAGGAAGGTTTGAATTAAATTGAACTAAACAGCAATGTCACAGGCTGATGGCATCATCACTATTTATGCATGTGTAATTATTTAGGCTGTATATTGTCCCCCGGCTTATTTAACTTATATGCAGAATACATCATGCGGAAGGCTGGACTGGAGGAATCCCAAGCAGATGGAGACAGCAGCCACGAAATTAAAAGACGCCTGCTTCTTGGGAGGAAAGGGATGACAAACCTTGACAGCATCTTAAAAAGCAGAGAATCTTGCCAACAAAAGTCCGAATAGTCAAAGCTATGGTTTTTCCTGTCGTGATGTATGGAAGTGAGAGCTGGACCATAAAGAAAGCTGACCGCCGAAGAATTGATGCCTTTGAATTGTGGTGCTGGAGGAGGCTCTTGAGAGTCCCCTGGACTGCAAGGAGAACAAACCTATCCATTCGAAAGGAAATCAACCCTGAGTGCTCACTGGAAGGACAGATACTGAAGCTGAGGCTCCAGTACTTTGGCCATCTCATGAGAAGACTCCTTGGAAAAGACGTTGATGTTGGGAAATTGTGAAGGCAAGAGGAGAAGGGGACGACAGAGGATGAGATTTATTTATTTATTTATTTATTTTGATTTATATCCTGCCCATCTGGTATATTTATACCACTCTGAGCGGCTGAACTAAACAGCAATGTCACAGGCTGATGACATCATCACTATGGTTGGACAGTGTCATCGAAGCAACCAACATGAATTTGACCCAACTCCGGGAGGCAGTGGAAGATAGGAGGGCCTGGCGTGCTCTGGTCCATGGGGTCACGAAGAGTCGGACACGACTAAACGACAACGACAAATTACTCAGGATTGCAGCCTATCATTGGTAACTTTTTTTTGCTTCTTTTCCTGCTACTCCATACTTTATGAACACATCCACATCAGAACTAAGAATGAGAAGGGAATCATCATATTGATGTGACTTCTTTTCACAAAAAGAGGGAAGAATCTTATCACCTTTTAGAATTTTACAACTCCTGGATGACAATCACTGGACAAAGTGAGGAATACTGTAAAGACAGCAGTTGCTTACCAAAGATTCACTTGCACACTGGAATACATAGCAAACATATTGGTTTATTCCAGGTTCAGTAGGTTCCCGACAAATAAAACCAAAATGATCAATATGTTTTATGCCCTAGAGGGAAAGAAAAAAGAGCTAAACACACTTTCATAACTTAGTGAAATTACATCAATCACCAATAATTAAAACTCACACTTTAAATATATCAAGGGTAACAAAATTACAGAAAAGGCCCTATATAGTACTTTTTTCTGGTTTACTAATAGAAAAATGTTATCTTCATGTTTTGTTTTGTTTTGTTTTTCATGGGAGAGGTATAAATTCCTCCAAAGCCTTGTGCAAATAAATAGTACTTCTGAGATCGCAGTATCTTACCGGGAGATGGGGGATGGGGGGGAGTTCTTACTTTTTACAGTTCCTTACACTTTCCAAGCCTTAACATTAAATAAATAAATAAAAAACTCCACAAAAATGAGGCACTCTTAGTGAGGAAAATCATTTTCCAACTTCTGGGCTACAGAATGCAGTCTGAATTTAAGCAAGGCACAATTTGGTCTCATCTCATTTTTTTTATCATTTTTAATGATATCAGTAAAATAAAAACATGAAAAAGTGATTCTTTAAAATTCTTCAATTTGGCATTGACTACATTCAAAACAGTCAAAAGACAAGAAGCACTAAAAAAAAAGTAACATACACCCTTACTTCTGTATAGATGTGCACGAGACTGTGCTGTAAAAGCAATGTCTGTATTAGTGGGGACACAATGACTTCAGACAAATGAAAACATGGACCAGAATTTCCTGCTATGACAAAATCATAAGCAACTTTCTTCTGCTGCTGTAGCACAAAGAGTAAATATAATCACAGGTGTTTCTTTTACCATAACACAATGCGCAACCACCACACAGTTACTTTTATGTTATACAGAAAACTGTATGTATGGATAGAGTAAAACAATATTTGAGGCCATTATTCCTATCAGTTGGGTTGTCTGGAACTTAATTTCAGCTCCTTCCTAATAGTGTACTTCATTGACCATTTACTGTTCTTCACAGCATGAGACTACTCAGTTACTTTGAACATTCATCATTAACATTGTTTACACCCATGTTCTACTTGATAAACCTTCCTATTTAAAAAATGACTTTTGTTAAAAAAATATTGTCTAGAAAATAATCCAGATTGTATTAAGGCTAGTGGGTTTCAGGAACAAATCATGAGAACTAATCAGCAAACTGTGCACAAGTCTGTTCATACAACAGAACAATTCTCTCAGGCACCATTTTCACTATTTTGAAGATTGTAATCTTCTAGAACAGTGGTCCCCAACTTCGGGCCTCCAGATGTTCTTGGACTACAACTCCCAGAAACCTCCACCACCACCTCTGCTGGCCAGGATTTCTGGGAGTTGGTCCAAGAACATCTGGAGGCCCAAGGTTGGGGACCACTGTTCTAGAACATGCTGAATCTTACAGTTACAAATAGTAAACATCCACTACTAACAATATTTGTTTCCCAGTGTCACTTTTATTGTTCCTGAATTTTCTATTGTTTCCTCATAAAGAAGCCCAGTCTTTTTCTCTGATGTCTCTTCTGCCCAGTTAATATGCCTACCTGAGAACATGAGGAGATGTCTTTAAAGTTCTTGTCCAACACAACAGATTTAGAGTCTGGACTGATAAGGTTAATTTCAAATCGACCAACCTTGAAAATGAAATGAATATGTCAAGACAAAATACATTTTGGAGTACCTTGGATGAATAACTATTCTTAAGATGTTTAAGGGGACAGATTTTGTTTATTTCTGTGGCTTACCAAATGCTATATAAAAGAACAGCATCATGAAAGTCAATGTTTTGCCAACTCAGTAGTTACAAAGGGAATACATATAAACTCGAAGAACTGTATTTGCTTTGGTATAGGCTAGGGAGCAGAAAGCTGGCAAGCAAGCAAAACAAAATGAGATGACTGTAGCCCTGTAATATTATTTGGACCCACCACAGTAAAACATTCTCTTCCCCAACATTTCCAACTGTAACTCTGACCTGACATGTCATAATAAACCATGAAGGAGTCCTTACATTTCTCAGCAGAACTAAGAACCTCATTCTAACAAATGCCCCCACCATTCTTTAGACCAGGGTTCTCCAAACATTTGAGCATGAGGGCCACACCATATATTTTCCAAATTTTGGAGGGCCGAAGGAATGTTCATAGATTCCATTAAGGATGGGGGGGAGTGGCATTAACAAACATTCAGCCATTAATTTTGAAGCTGGTTTCCACAACGCAAGTAGATTTGGACTCCTGTAACTGCAGGATCAATGTCCACGGTTTCACTTGTCCGTGATCTGAAAACATTAAAAATATTAAAAGAAAAAAAATCCAGAAAAACTATTTTCACATGTATTACAAGAACAGTACACTAATACTTGTTAGTGAAGAACACACAGCATAATCTATGCCATCCTCTCATGGCATGTTCTGGTAATGTATGTGAAAATATTTTTATGTGTTTATTTATCTCCCCTTTACCATGCTGTCTATCTCTATCTCTCTCTATCCCTCCCACTTGCTATTATCTGCAGTTCTCTGTATCCATAGGGGTTTAGAACCAATCCCCAGTGGATATGGGGTCATACTGTACACCCATCACATTAAAGCTGAATTCTATATTCTGGCAAATTTATTTTAATATGTGTTGTTGGTTTTTTTACACCAGCTGGAGGGACCCAAAAATATAAAAGAGCACATGACTTCTGGTTTGATGCTGAGATGAGACATCAGGAGAAGGACGGAGCTCCATCCCCTGGGCTGAATTCCAACTTGTTGAGGTGGTGAAATGGGGGAGAAGCCTGTTGATCACTGGGGGGGCGGGGAATGGAGATTACCCACATTTGATCCGGTAAACTCCCCAATCAACCAGCGGGCAGAAACAAGCAGCTGAAGTAGCTTGCTTGCAAGTCGTCGGCAGCCAGCAATGGAGAAGTGATAAATCAGCTAGTTAATATCATGTTGCCACTGGATGAGAAATATTTTTTAACTGTACTGCTTTACAACTATCCCTGAATGAGACAATCCCTACAAGAGAAATAGGATGTACTATCCCCCACCAGCAGTGGTGAATCTGGAGAGAGGAAAGAGATGCAAAGAGACACAAAGAAAATAAATTGGACATTAATTAGACATTTACTTATACTTCAAGGAAGGAAGCTTGGTATTACTTTGCTGTTAGAAACTTAAGAATCTTTCTCTTAAAAACATCATTAGCAACAACTCTGGGAAATTAAACTTGTTTATGTTATGGTAACAGCTATCTAAAGCGCTAGCAAAAAGCTTAGAACAATGACCTCAAACTCTTTATGGTTGTTTGGAATTCCCTTTCTTTTTGAGGATTGAACTGAAGTACAGACAAATTAACCCTAGAAAGCCTAACCCAGCCAGATCATCACCATCACCATCACCATCATCACCATCATCATCATCATCATCATCATCATCATCATCATCATCATCATCATCATCATCATCATCATCATCATCATCATCATCAGGTGGCAGTGAATAAGTGAAACCACGGGCACTTAAAAATAATCATACCTGAAACAACATTGTCCTGTTCTTCTCAGAATCAGAAGGCTGGACATGGCTAGGGGCACTTGCATGTCGTCTACGGGACTGTGTTTTCAAACTATTATCATGAACCTTCCTTTGCATGACGCCTGTGACACTGCTGCACCGGGAGCGGAATTCCTGCTGGTCATCAAACCCAGAATCCTCCAAGATCCGCTCAGGGAAAGAGACACGGAAAGTGGCCAGGTTGGTCTGGCTTCCAACTGTGAACATCCCGGTGCTCCCACCATTTGAGTCATCTATCTCCTCAAATGGACTGTCTAAGGGAGAAGATGGCTCATTCATCTCATAATCGGCAAACTCGGTGCTGGATTCTGCATTCTGGCGCTCACTTAACAGTTTCAGCCGCTGGCGCTCATGCAGTGTGAACTTCTCAATACAGTCATCGATCAAGGTGGAAGGGGCCTTTTTGTGAGCCACCGTCACTTTCCCACAGTATAGAACTTCAAATTTTTGAGAGTTGTAGAAGGCATCTTCACTATCCTTAGTGGGCTTGACATCTTCTTTGAGGGCTGCTTTGGAAGCCTGTCTTATGCTACTAATAACATCTGGAACCTGTAGGAAAAGTGGGGTGGGGAGAAAGAGCACATTTTCATTATCAAAGCACGCAAAACTTACCTTTTTTTTCAGCTGGGGAAAGATATCTTCTACATCACCACTATAAGTGTGCACAGGGTAAATAAGCTGTCTCTGGATGTAAAATTTTGTCCTATACTCACTTTGGGTGAACAGTGAAAAAATTCCACTGCTGCAGAAAGGGAATGGCCCAGTTCTTAGAGGGAAGGTCATTTTCACAGAAAATGCATGGCTGTTCACAGTAAAGCTGCAAAGCTATCATGTCACTATCTCTACTGGATGTTACTAGGAGAGCAAACTCTCCTTCTATTCTGTATTCCACAGCAGTGTATCCCTGCAAATATTCCATTTTGCCTGGGAAAGGTTAAACAAGCTAAGTTAAACATGGCAACACAAGGCAAACCCAAGGTTTCCTAGTTTCTCCCCAAAACACTCTCAGTGAAAATGAACCATGAACCCTACCCCTCTGTGTTATTCAGCTAAGGAACTTTCCAAATCATGAACATCCAACCTCCCTGCAGTTACCATCTATTCAGAGGGCCACCATACATACTGAATTGGCCACTGAGAGTCCTACATACTAAAAAGGGCTGTACAAGAAGTTCTTCCATAAGATCTTTCACACCAAGCTCTTATGGCCAAAATAAAGAGACCAGACAGGGCAAATCTAGCGGTGTCATTAGGATGGGACCTTATGAGGTTACAGAGTTGGGGCAGGCAAAAATGGGAGAGTATGTGTTCTTCCCCCTTTCAGCCTTTGCACCACTGCTGCCAAGAGTTGTGCCAAAAGAAAGGTTATGTGTCATGATGTCCATGCTCCCACTCACTGACTTGCTTCAAAGAGACAGTCCAAACATCAGCATGCCAAAATTCTAATACTGTATCAAGAACAGGGAACTAGGGAAATAGATAGTGGTGTATCTTACATACAAAAATAGGGGCTACAGCCTTGAGATTTATCTCCCTGCCAAACTGTTCAGAGAAGTTCGGCTGTTTGAGACTGCAGTTGGTACCATGTAACCTGGAAACACTAAAATATATCATAAACCAATTGGCAAAGGAATCAAATTCTGAAACCCTACATTATTCAGAATACCAGATATCTAATATCAAGAAGTTAAATTCATAATGTTCTTCAAAAGTCTCTTTTACTTCAACCATGTCCATTCATTCAATGGCTTTTTTTCTTCTTTCCTAGGAGTCTCCTCATCGATTTGCCCTGACCCTTAGGAATTTCCGACACTCTCCATAACCTCTTCTAACCTGAAGGAAAACTGAGTAAAACATCCACTCCTCTGGGATTTAAGAAACGTGTGTTCTATAAGCTTAGATCAAAAATAGACATGACCCTATGGTCAGATATATTCAAAGTAATTTATAATATATGTAACAATATACAGTAGTCCCCTGCCCCCAGGCTTAGAATAAAAAAATGTAAGACATGACATAAGAGGAATAAGGGAAGGAAAATCTACCACTTAAATAAAAAGGGAGGTGGATTTCCTTCCCTTGTTCCTCTTGTGTTGTTGATACAAAATGCAAAGGCAAGAGTAGGTGATATCTTTATAGACCACAAATTTTAAAAAATCATACAATATTCAAGCTTCCAGGGGGTAAATCCCACTTTTCAAGGCAAAGTATTAAAAGTCCAAATGTTCATGGCAAGATTGATTTTGCCAGGCACTTTGAGATGTAAAGTCCAAAACGTCTTAGCAAGATGGATTTCACCAGGCAGTCTTTCTTAGATGTAAGCAGGGAGCAGGAAGGTTGTTTAATGTTACAGCTCAGGTTGCTGTGGATTGGATTTCACACCCTGGTTCTTCAAAAAGTGTCAGATGCCCATGTGTGCACACAAACCCCTCTCCCCATTTGGCCCTTCTTCAAAACATACATGTTTCTGCTTGGCCTGGGGTGGGTGGGGTGATGGAGAAAACCCATGTCCTCCACCTGGGAATGAAGGTATCATTTAGTAAACTCACTAAGTGTAACCAATTGAGGTCAAATTAAGGTTAAAAAGAGTATTACCAAATGGTTGCAGTCTTGCTCTGCTGATGTTGAGAGTCCATGTGCCTTCTTGCTGGTAGGTGGGGGGCGGGCGCTCTTTCTTGGTATCTTTATAATTTTATTGAAATAAAAAGGGAGGAGATGTGTGGCTGATACAGTCTAGACTTGCTGCTGTCCATATATTTGCTGCTTCAGCTCTCATGATCCCTGACAACTGGTGCTGCAGATTGGTACTGCCCTCCAAAATATATGGTGGGCACCAGTGTGCGGAAAATTGCTTTAGACACATGGACCCCAACCTTGGGCCTCCAGATGTTCTTGGACTTCAACTCCCAGAAATCCTGGCCAGCAGAGGTGGTGGTGAAGGCTTCTGGGAGTTGTAGTCCAAGAACAACTGGAGGCCCAAGGTTGGGGACCACTGTTTTAGAGCACAGATATACACTGTGGGCAGGGATGGTTGTACAGTACTCACCCATCTAAGCAAGATGGTCGCCCAAACTTCAGCAAAAGTTTGGAATTGTGCCAGTTTCTCAAACACTGAGAAATCACAGAAGCAGACTTCAAATCCTTGCAAAACTATGCATTGTTCAAACACAAACAGAAGTACTTGAGTAGCACAGGTGTTTTTCCACTACAAAGCCTCTGCCAAAGAAGGGCTTGTCTAAAGCTTGCTTTAATACCTAAGAAAAAATACACAAAACTAGCCAGCTTAAGCTATGCAGTACTATGGGTTTTTTTTTACTCCTTACTGAAAAGGATGGAGAGGTTTAGTATGGAGGATATTAAGGACCAAACTAACATGTACTCAAATATATACGTTAAATTTAAAAGATTGCCAATAGTTATTAGTTTAAAAAAAACAGGAATTACAATCTAAAAAGATTCAGGTAAGGCAATAACAGGACTTTTATGTACACATGTCCTCAAAATAGACACATGAAGTTTTGAACCTTTATCTCCTCTGTCCCAGCCTACCAACCAAATCACAGCATAACACTGAGAAAATGGTGCTTGCTTGGGCACATCATGTCGAAGAAAAGGAAAGATCGATGTATAGTAACAGGTTAAACGTCATTCCAGCAATTGCCTAAGAATGCTTTAAACAGAATAACATATTTTGCTTTAACCAATTAATTACCCTGCATATTACCAAAATTTCATTATAGGTGGTGGTGGGGGCGGGCGGTTTCCTGATACATCAAAGTGGGATTGCCGAACAAAATGTTTCTACTTATCTTAAAAGATTTTTTGAACATAAGTAGAAACATTTTAATTTCTCACCACAAAAAATACCATAATGTTAAAAAATTAAAAAGCCAACAAAAATGTGGGCAGCCCTGCCACTAAAATTGGCTCCTACTGATTATCAAAGTTTTAGTTAATTACAAATGTAAGTTTCAAGTAGTGCACTTGGACACAGACACTAAGCCCACCCGCACTGTTGGTCTTAATGAGCAACACTAGTCTATGTTACCACGGCACACACAAGACCAAAACATTTCCACTCTTACAAGAGCAGACTGAGATCCCTGAGAGTGGAGTGAGGAGTCAGAGGATGTCACCATTTCTAAATTGTGATGCAGTGACACCGAACCCCCTTCCTTGGTTCTTTGTCGTAAAAACTCACCTACTCTTAAGGGTTTTTTCCCCCTGTATGTTACCATTTCATTTTTATTTCATCTCTTAATAATCACCATCATGTATGAAATCTTTGTTTAGAGTCATATTAATCTCTCTTTAAAGCATCAGGTATTTTCACTATAATCTTTTGCCTGTCCACTCAGTGGCAAGACTTTCCTTCTATGTATAGGATTGAAACCCCAGCCTTTGCAGGACCTTAAAGGCTGACATGTATCTAGAAAATAAGTTTTTGCAGACCACAGACCACTTCATTAAAAAAAAATCTTTCCATGAAAGTGTCTAAAAATTCATGTTCTTAGTATAAGGTGTGTTTTTTTCAAGTATTTTTTAAAATAATCTTGATGCAACACTTACTGCCCCCAACATACTGCCATTATACATTGAATTGCCCCATTCTTAAAGTCATCACTTGTTCAGGCTCCAATGCCCTGCCAGTTGCAATCCTGTTTCTCTGTGTAAGAAAATGTATATCTTTCAGTCTGTTTCTCATACAAAAAAAAGCCTCAACTGCAATTTTCAGGAGAGCGGATTGCACACACAAAGCTAGCATGCTCATGTGCAACAGGGACTTTTTATTTAGTAGTTCAGAATACACTGAAAGTTATAAATGTTCTTAATGCTAAGCAACAGGATATCAGCTACTGTGTAACACGTTTTCCAGTGCAATTTTAACATGAACAGCAACAGCCAGTGGATATTTGCAATATATTTGCAATATAATTTTGAGTGTGTCTTCCTTTGTAGCATCCAGATGGAACATCAGGCATTTCTCACTCCATATAAAGTACAGTAAAAGTCTTTGTTGTAACTTTGCTTGCATGGAAAATCAGAGCAATGGTCCTGTAGTTTTTGCACTCCTTAGCATCTCCTTTCTCAGAGACTAGTATGTATATTGAACACTGCTCAATATAAAGGTTAGCCTCTGCTTTTGTAATCGGTATTACTTTTCATTTTCTAAGCTACACAACCATGCCTGCAAACTCAGTTACTCATTACCACGTTGGCACACAATTCATCTCTCACAATGATCTTTAAGAATGTATTATAAGGCACAGCATGGCTAGACCTGCGAGAAATGCATTAATATTACACATATGCAGAGAGATTTCAGTCACTGAAATCAGCCCACAAAAACAAAAAAACTTTCATTCTTGAAATACAAGTGTGTGATAAGCCACAATCAATAGAAATCCCTCACAAAATCCAGCTTCTCATCTATTATTATTTACCAACATAGCATTAGCCAGTATGCACTAGATAGTGTTGGACTAAGATTCAGGAGACCAGAGTCTCCAACCCCCACTTGCCTCTGAAAGGTCACTGTGAGGGGTGGC